TCAGACCATTAAAATTACTTCCACATGAAGATCAACAACTAGCTTTCTTAACTGGTTTTTCCCCTGCTATTTTTGTAAGTACGTTTTGTACTTACATTTCTAAGTATCAAGAAAAATAATGTTTTGTCACATATCTTGTTGTCATGTTGTACCAAACACACCATGGATTTGAACTAGGCTGAAGTTAAGAGATCTGTTTGTATTGCCTCCTTTGTAGATATGTCCCTTATTTGTTACCAGGGGTTTTCTTTTCACTGAATCATTTTCTGATACATACGTTGGAAATCTATTTATCTGAATTAATCAGAGCATAGAAAAGAGCAGGACCATTCCCTAGATATTGCATAGTGTAGCTTCATTTTTCATTTAGCACAGATTTAAAGTTAAAACAGAACTAGCGATTTTCAGGCTGAGTATAATTGTAATTGATAAAATTAATCATATTACATTATATGATGAGAAGTCTAGATTAAGAAAGCAATGCTAAGAAGTGACCAAATGCAAGCCGAAAATGTATTAAATTCCAAAAAAGAAAATTTCTGAAAGATGAAATATTCTTTCTACGTTCAGTATTTTATATTCTTCAACTGCTCACTTGTCATTTGCATACATACAGTGAAAGGATGTTAGGTAGAAGGAATGAAAAAATGTATTGTTCATATAGAGGGTAAGTCTTGAACTTTCAGATTAAAGCGGTGGCTGCAAGTCCAGGAAGGCTTGAAGGTTTTGTTTTTTCTTTATTCTTCATCATACTTTTCTGCTGATTCATCTCTATACTGAGGCTTTGAAAATACTAAAAGCATAGTATAATGCTTACATTCTTCTACTGCAAGTATTTAGTAGAGCTATATTGATTTCATGTCACTTTAAGCAAACACTGAAGAAAAATTGAACCAGGGATTGTGGCTGCATGCTTTGGAGTTAGTCCTGTAAGTTACGAATTACAACTTCCCCTTTGGAAAACATGAATCAGTAAGAGAAAAATATTCTTTGTGTGTGCTTTTTTTCATGATAAATTAGTTCATGATGAAACCCATACTGTAGCACAGTTTGTTACACAATGCATGTGATCTTTTAAATTTTTTTCAGGCAGTTAGTTATGCTGATTAGAAACATAGATGTGAAAGATACATTTCTCTTAGGAGCTGACATGGGTGCATTCATTTGCAAGCGAATCTGAAGTTGGTCTGCAGAGCTCAGTGCTCTTACATGTGTCTCTCCATTCCTCTCCTCCCTTTTATAGCAGTCTTGGCCATGGCAGTAGCTTACTTAACTTAGAGTAAAACAGCTGCTCTTACTTGTAGTGTGTCCTCAAAGTGAAAAAAAACCCCATTCCTCCTCCCCTCAGAAGGAACGCTTTGCACTTTTTCTGATATTCTAAACTGATATGTTGTTAATGATTCCTATGTTTATTTCCTCTAATTTATATTGCCTTTCTCACTAAGGTATAATATTTTTTCTCTAGATGCTTTAAGATGCTTATCAGAGAGTATGTATTTCTAAAGAATCAAGTGTAGAAACAAAGTTGATTCCAATCTGGATGATGACTTTGGGGCTCCTGATGATCCATCATGTGAATTTAATTAGTTGTGTGTTTGTCAATTTCATCTTAATTTTATCTAAAAATTTTAAGGGATTTTTAGAGTTAGAGATTACTAGGACTCAATAGATATACCGTGTTTGCTCATATTAAGTTATTTTCAACTTTTGGATGAGTGCCAATTCTCCAAGAGGTTTTAACATTAGCATTAGCTGTGAGTCTGGAAAAAAAAAGTCTTAGCAGAGTTCTATTTGTATTAATAGTAATCCAAGCTGATAGTAGATGCAGACAGCTAAAGCCTCTTAGGCTGGACACAGTAATTCTGATGTTGTAGCAAAACCTTGGTATACATCGAGTGCATAATTAGGAGAGATGATATTCTGGTTGAAGGCCATTTGTGAGATGTATTAATGAGCAGAACACCTTGTCATTCAGAAGAATAGTGGTTATTCTGATCTCTGTTGCCAAAAGAAGAAAAATTCATGTCTGAGAAGAAAACCTTAAATAACAAGTCAAAACTCAACTATGGTCCTCTCCTTTTCCTTCATCTCCTATCTCCAGAGGGGCTACTGACTTTCCTGGGGTGCTGTGAAGTTTCACTTTCATGTGAAAAGGTAATTTGGTTCACTCTCAAATGAAAGTACATTTCAAATGAGCCTGCTTGGCAGCAGTGTTGGGGGAGGGAAGCTATGAGGGGCATTTTGTTCCTTAAGTTCAGTCACCAGCATTTGTGGAGTGGCTAAGCTTCAGAGCAATGTTTCTTCCCATTCCCTCCAGCCCTAGTCTGCAGCTTTTAAAATGTGTCTGTAAAGTTTTTTTAATTCTGAAAAAGTATCTCAAAAGCAAAGGACTCACTGCCCAGTAAAGCAAAAGTAAACTGAAGTATGTGTTGGCATTTTAAGGAAGAGGGGGAAGGAAGAAGGCAGGGAATGAGGGAAGGGAAGGAAGGCAGGGAGGGAGGTGGAAAGGAAGGAAGAGAAGTAAAGAAAGGAAGATGGGGAGGGAGGAAGGGAAAGGAAATCCTTAATATCTTTTAAAGGTGTGAAAGGTTGACAGTCTTTTCTTACAGTTATTTTCTGCAGTTACCTAATGAGAATCTTTCAGGTCTTGATAACATGCCATGACAACAATTAAAACAAAATACACCCTTCAGTTCCCAACCAGGAAATTCCTCCAAAAATCTCAAACACAGTATTTTAGGGAATAGTATAAGTGTATTAATGAATACGCAATACGCAGAAATGTACCAAAAAGCCATATTTAAGGTATTTGGTCATGTTACTTCTGCACACAAAACTGGTTTAGGACTCCTTTTGTGAAATGATAGCATAAGTCTTTCATAGCTACAAATCAATTTAGAGTCTAGACTAGGATGCTACTGTTTTATTAAAAAAATATTTTTCATTGTTGCTTTCAAACATACCCATATTGTTTTGTACTATTGGGTAGACAGCTTTGAGTTGATGAGAGAATAATTCCTGGAGCTGAGATATTTTTGCAGTTACAGAAGGAGCTATAAAATCTCACGAAAATGCTGTTACTACCTTGCTGAAGTGCCATGGAAGTAATCTCTGTGTTTACTTAGTCCTTTTTATTCGGAAAGCTTTGTGTGAATTTCTGTGGTCAGCAAAGGTGGTGTTTGTTCTGACAAGAGCTGGACAAAAAGCCAGCCCAAGGAAGCAGAATATCCCTGTGCTGTGCAGCCAGGTCCTGCCCTAACAAGGAGAATGGCTTGTGTCTTGTGATGCTTTCCTGCTGCTTGTGGCAGGTGAGGGGAGATAGGATAGACAGGCCCATAAGGTGAGAGGAGCAGCAGTTTATCTGTGGAAATCAAAACAACAGACAGTGTTTAGTGTCTGCTGGCTCCAGTCTTTCCTCCCTCACTGTTAAGTGGGAGTTAAAACCCACCTAAGGATGGGGTCAGAATGATTTATGTAGTTTGCTGTGGGCATACCTTCTCTGCAAACAGAGAAGATCTTCTGCAGCCTGGTGGGTTGGAGTGAGAAGTGGGGACTTCTTTGCCATAATGTGTCTGGAATTCAGCAAGGTAGGCTGTGGGCAAAATTAAGATTTTTGCTATTAGGCGTGTTGTAAGGGCTCATGTTCCGAAACTCATCTGAGCTGGGAAGTGAATTTAGAAGGATAAAATCTGGCAAGGGGAGTTGAAAGTCACCCAACTCTGGTGGAGCAAGGAAGCAGCTTCCTCTATGTTATTTCCCACTCACACTCATCTTTCCCCCTTAAAACTTTAAAGAGGGGCAGAATCCCAGCAGAGCCTGCACTGAATTGCATGCACTGATGGCAGGAACAATCAAGGAACACAGTATGGTTTCTATTGCTAGGTCGTGTTTCCAGGTGACAGTGAAGTTGCAGCCGAATTAAACCACAGTCCTTGTGTCTCTGTATGATTGGGACAACTGAGACTAGCTCTTGGTGTTATTCAAATGCTAGTATAATCTGACAGGTGCATTATGTCCATCAAAGAATAGTAAAGGAAAATATCAAACTACCAATGAACAGGAGTTGAAACCATGAGAAGTATTTCAATTATTGTATTTTGGACTTTGTGAGTGATTTAAAGAACATAAAGAACTATGAATATTTATCAAAACCCTAAATAATGCTTATTTCCAAAATAATTTTTTTTGGTGAAATATATAGTGAAAAGTAAGGAAAAAAAATGTGGTAGTTTTAAAAGCTTTATTTGAGAATGATCTAAACTAAAATTGATTTGTTAATTATAAAACTTGGTGAGTTATTAAATCATGTTAAGTAAAGAAAAATATGAATTTAAGTTGCTCTTAGCTGTAGGGTTGCCTTCACTCTGCACGTTATTTAGCCTCTTCTACATTTTATGAGAATAATTTGTATATTTGTTATTTAACTGTAGCAACTATGAAAACTCATGGTATATTTCCAGTGGTACTGTTTGCATTATAATACTCATGAAGATAATGATTTTAAAACCTCTTACTAGTTCCTGCTTTTCAAAATACTACATTTGTGTTAATAATTGTATTTTACTAAATTTTCCTTTGGTTATCTGAGAGCTGCTTCAAGTCTGGAATGGGTGCTTGTGAAAAGTATGGCAAGACTGTACGTTATACACATTCCTTTTAAATGTCCCATGAATTAACTGTAGTATCTGAATTCATTTTAGCTGTACTAGTGCTATAAGTTTTTGTTGACATTCTTTGGTATTGTGATCAAACTACACAGTATAGTTTCATGTCATGTGTGTAAAAATCATGTAACAGACTGAGTAAAATTTGTGTGGGTAATCTCAGATTCACTTAAAATTAATATGCCATTTAAGTAATTCGCAACCTACTGAACTAATGTCAAAGCAGTGTACACTAATAATTGATCCCCTACTTTATTTAGTTGCTTTCATAATGACATTTTAACAGTTAGAAATGTAAATAAATACTTTTTCATTGTGTTTTCTTTTCTTCAACAGGATACTACAGGTATAGAAAAAATGTCAAACTGTTGTGAAGACATGTAAGTTCTGTAAAATTTTTACATTGATGAAATGCTAAAGGAGTTGCTGTTTTTTTAAACTGGGTGAGAGAGTAAAGGAACTGAAGGCACTTTGTTAAGGTGATTTTGCATGGTACTGTGCCTTGTACTTCCTATCTTTAGCAGCAGCTCACTAATCTATTAGTATTGGTTGTACACAAAGTAACCTCCCTACCCAAACCCAGTGGAACTATATTTTCTTTCAAAAGTACAGATCAAAATATACTTTCTGCTGTGTTTTGACATACAATTCATTGATTCTGAGGTCTCCTCTGCTTCAAAAGTTGCTTTTGTTTCATTGATGGCCCAGATAGTTTCTGTTCTCCAAAGTTAAGTCTCAGCTGCGTGCAGTAATGAAAGGAAAGCTGTATTTGTGACGCTGAGACACAATTCATCAGAGTCCAGAAATGGATCCCCAGCCAACCTACATTGTTCTAGCTGACTGAAGTGCACCGTGGGCATGCTGTCTTTCACTAATAATGCTGTCTTCTGTAGATCGAGGCCCCGAAAGCCATGGCAGCAGACCTTCTCAGAAGTTTTTGGCACTCACTGGAAGATCCTGTGGTTTATTCCTTTCAGGCAGAGGCAACCACTGCGAGTTCCCTACCACTTTGCCAATCATGTCTAAACAGATGGATAGTGGGCACAGATGGGTCCTCCATGCTGGAAGTGCGTTACAGGTTTTATGATAATAGGACTATGACAGTCTTCAAGTCAATTAAAATCCAGTTGTAGGCATCACAATGTGCCCCAGGCATTATTTTAGTTGTGGTGTTGATTCTGTTCTGAGATTAATGCAAATTGATTGTTTAACTTTATGCATATTTAATTTCAGATTAGCTTTCCAAAGAGATTTCTTTTGGTTTTGAGATTAATACCAAAAGCAAATGACTGAAATGCACTCTTCCTCTATTTGTTTGATACTGGCTCTTTTTTTTTTACCTTTTTTTTTTTTGTAGGAAGCACTGAAGTTTACATTTATGGTTAGATTTCTCTCCAAGTGTCTTATTCTGCCTTGAATTTTTTTAGTGTTTTTATCAGCAGGTCTGTCTAGATAATATCTTTTTTTCTGCATGTGTTGAACTGATACTTCCAGTTATTTATGATATGCAATAGTAATCCTGCAGCACCGCACTATAAAAGGCAGCATTTAAAACTGAGGCAGACTACTTCCTAAACCTTTCTCAGAGAGGATTTTTATAAATACACATAAATGTCTATGTTTATAGAGAGAAGTCTTACATCTTACAGTTATCTTTCAGCCTAGATATGATCTTAGTGAAAATTATTCATGTCTCTATGTCAACAAGCGGGATTAAATATTCCAGGGTAAACTGTCCAAATGGGAAGTGTGTTTTCCCTCTATCCCGAGGATTTCCTTGCAATAATTCAAAAAAGAAGTTGCATGGTGCAAATACTGGGATGCTTACTTTTTAAAAATGCAGATGTAGTTAGTTAGCATAATGTACCATAAAAAAGAGTATATTGTCAATAAAGTTATAAATTTTATATTTTCTTTAGTCATGATTAGCTGGAAGTCTGAGTGTTTGTATATTGGAAATACAAATATTTAAAATATTTATACATAAATATAGATTTGTTACTAACGTGTTCAGTGAAATATATTAACTCATTTAGTAGGGTATTGTGTTGATGTAGATAACTTGTTCCTTTAAGTATGGAAGTAGTTAACCAAAGAAAGCATCCTTCATATCTGGTAAAATGACAACAATTGCCAAAGTACTGGTTTGCCTTTCTGTGTCTGGAAAAATTATGTACTTATTTTAGCCCTCTGTATCTGTACAATCAGCATGAGATGATTGTGGAAAGTACTGTGAATTTCTTCTAGAAATTCAGTGGTTTTAGTTATGCTGCTTATGATGTTTTTTGCGTAGTCTAACAGGACTAGGTTCCACCTTAAATGGCAGCCATGCAACTGGACACAGTAAAAGATACAAAATCAGGATTTAATATATATAAGTTGTGTAGGAAGTAATACTTTATTTGGAACAGTTCATCCAAAAATGAAGGGCAAGACTTGTCATGAGTGGTGTTTGTAACAAATTTTAAAAGATTCGTTTGTAATGCAGTTTCTCTCAATGTTAGAGGTCCCTTTATTGAATTAACAGATTTTGATGATCCACTGACAGTTCCAAAGGGTGCATCTTAAAAATCACTTGAATTTTAAACTTTTGTAAACTTCTAACATTTGATCCAACTTTACTTTTCCTCTCTTTTTAAAAATAGAGGATTGTTTTATTGTTTTAAATTTCAAGCCTAATATTCAACCATTTTTTTCAGTTTTAGCAAGCCTAGACTTTCCTTAAGGTGGTATTGGCTGCAATATTTAAACAAAAGACTGGGACAGTGCTGGAAATGAAAAAGAATGTGGATACTCATAATAAAGTAATGGCTGTATTCTCTTCCCTCCCCCCCCCCCCTTTTTTCTCTTTTTTAAAGGAATGCCACTATTATAGTCTCTGGCATATACAGGGGAATAATAGCAGTTTCATTTTCCATGCCAATATTTAAATGTTCCATGAGTGAAACACAGAAGCTTTTTAGAAGATTGGTCGTGCTAATCAGTTATCGTAGTTAGGAGATTTTACTGTTCTGAACCTTATTCTGAAAGAGGATCACGAATTTAACTTTTTTTTTTTTTTTTTACATTTACCGTGGGGGGCATATAATTGTTTCCTGGTGTTCCTGTATTACCGAAACAGTGCCTGGAGCACCAAACCTGTCGCGCAGAGCGCGCCCGACGGCGGGAGCCTCGGTGGCAAACAGAGCGCTGGGTTTGCGTGCCCGGTGCGCAGCCGGGCCGCGGGGCAGTGCGGTTCCGCGGGCTCCGTGGGGATGGAGGATCCGGGAGCAGCCCGTGTTCCAGGGGCCGGGCACGAGCGCGCGCCCCCTGTCGCCAGTTGCCCGTCGCGACAGCGGCGATGCGGGGCCCGCGAGGGGCCGCTCCCGGGAGCCGAGCAGAGCCCTGGCCGTGAAAACCTTGCCCGATTCCCCAAACGAAATTCTCGAACGAAAGTGTTGTTTTCGCAGATTCGCGACGTCTCAAATGTTTCTGTATTGGAAGTTTTCTTTTTTCTTTTTTTTCTTCCTTTTTTTTTTTTTTTTTTTTTTAAATCTGCTTTTTCTTAGCCTCCCATCCTTCACAGCATTAGGAATCAATATGTAATATGATTAAGGCTGCTAGGTAATTTCTGCCCCTTTTCTAGGTATTTAGAGAAGAGAAGGGAGAATTTGGAGAATCTTCCGTGTTTTAGGAGGTACTGAACTGTATTCTTTGAATGAGAGGCCTCTAAGAGGGTAAAATGAATAAATTATTTTTTTTTTACATTTAACTGAATGATCATATCATGTTATTAGTTTATCAGAGTAATGACCATATCATGTTATTAGTTTATCAGCGTAATGTTTCTCAAACTGATTGTCAGAAAGTGTTGTTCCATCAGAAAAAGATCGGGCGGGCTTTTTTGATCTAATTTGAAATTCTTGAATCCATTGAACCTTTCTTTTGAAATCCCACTTCTTTCCCTCCAGGTCTCCTTTATGATTTTTTGTTTCAGTAGAAACTGCATTTTTAGTACTGATTAGTGTTTGTCATTGTTAGGCATTTAAAAAAACTTATGGACAATGTTACTGAATTTCATCCTAATATAATATCAGAACAACAAATGCTTCATTGAGCACAGTGGATATTAGCTTCTGACTTGGCAATGTTTGATTTCCTGACAGGCACAAAGAGAAGTTAAAGAACGAATTAAAAAGCCCCTGGAAACATTTGAGAGCAGCTAGTTTATTTGCTGTGTGGGGTAGCTCCTGGTAGGACCAAAAAATGCTACCTACATATCTTCTCGTAATATCAGGGATTTGAGATTTCATTTGAAAAATCCCCATGTCTGTAATAAAAGATAATGCATTAAATAATGTCTATGAACCTGTCCTCAGATGTACTGCTTTGAAGTAGAGGTTCTGTCTCACAGCTCCTAGAGTAGTTCAGATACACAGTCATTTTCAGTCTTGAGGAGAAGGAACTAAGAACCAATTTTTAGAATGGAGTTTAAACTAGGCAGCTTACTCCTTGTTATGCATCTAGAGGGGGCAGACATGACCAGAAGATTCATAAAAGCACAGAGAAAATGGAGATGGGCCAAAAGTGTTGTTTTGATTTGATATCAAAGTTTAACAGTTGAAGTCATTGCAAAGAGCAGGAGTTTCTGTCATACATTTGAGGATGCTATCAATTATATGGGTTACTTAACTTGGCTATTTCCACTTTTGTCTTCAGTACGCACTCAATTTCACTGCAGTTCACTGGTAGGAGGCCAACATAGCTTCATTGGAGCAACACAAATACAATTGACTGTTGGCTCAATATCCCAACTGGAAATATCACTGCATTCCTTATTTTTTTTATTTATTTTTTTTGTTTGTTTGTTTTATTTGTAGGGTGTGGTCTTGATCTTTCTGGACAAAGATTGGTGCTTATTCTACATATATTCCCATCAATAATACTGGATTAGCACTTCTAAACTATTCCTAAAATAAAATCTAAGTGCCCTTTCTGAATAAGAGCTGCATAAAACAATGCAGATCTTAACTAGTGCCACCTAGTACTTCTTATTCTCTCTCGTACTTCTAAAGTACAAGCACAAAAATTATTTTTTTTAGCATTGTGTATAAAAAATCACTTTTATTCATAGTCTTGTAACTGACTGAAAGTTAACTGTCAGAAGACAAGGGTACTGTTCTGGTTTTTGCACTTCAGGAAACAGCTAGCTTTAGTTTAACTGGAAAATCTCATATCTGGCATTAAAGTATCTAGAGGAAGGTTTGAATCTAATTAAGTGATCCGACTGAGCATTTTACCTGCCCACCACTGCTGATAAAAATAATCCTAAACAAGTTTGTATATACATAGTGCAAGCCCGGTGTACACATTTCTCAGGGCCTGTCCATTCTCAGTCAGACCATTTCCCTCTGAAAGGATTTTTCTTTATTTCCCCCAGTATAAATCACCGTTAGTCATACCTGATAGCCATTGTGTAGCTGTCTGTTAGCTCTGACCTAGGCTGAATGAGTAGTGGGCACATGATGTGCTGGTGTGCTTCTTGAAGTCCTGGTAGACCTCAGCTTACTGCCTTCCAGCTGCATCAGGTTAGTCATCAGGTAAGAGGTAGATACTTACTTGAGATTATTCCTTGATGGCCCATAGATCTTGTGCTTAGATTTTCTGCTGTGCTAACTAGTGTGAATCCTTGAAGGGCCTTTGAAATTAAAGGTCCCAGACCTCCAGGAACTTTGCACTTTGTTTTAACCAGATGACTTAAGGCTCAAGTTTGGCTTAATTTTCCTGCTCAGTAGTTGATGCTTGCCATTAATGACATAATGCATTTTTGTGTTTCACAGGGAAGGAATTAGATTTAAAAATAACTTCTGTCAGTGGCTCAGAGGCCGAACCTGTTGGTAGTGTCTCACAACAAATCAGGTGATAGTCACTTCTCATTCAGTTCCAGACCCTTTGTCCAAAGTATTTGCTATTTGACACTCAGTGTTTCCATAACATGTATATGTGGTAGGAAGGTTCAAGACAGTGCAAATTAGAATGTTTTCAAGAAGCATTTCTCTGTCCTGGGAAGAAATTCTACTTTTGAGCAATTTACAGTTACGACTTCTGTAAGACATCAGAGCTTTCTTGGTTGTATTTGAGTCCCATTTACCCAGACAAAATCACTCTTGTTTTTATTCATTTTCTACCTAAAAGTTACTACCTAAAATGACTTCTTTTCATTTCTCTACTCACTTCCAATTTTGATGGCTCTTTTCCTCTCTTTTCACTGAGTGTACAGCAGCACAGCATAGTCCTACCTGCAGTTATCTTTGTATCATCTTGGCCAGAATTGACA